GTTCCTCGATCCAGCCGCACGCTGTCTTCCCGGCTTCTGTAGTGTGGGCGCTCGTCGGACAGCCGGATGCCCAGTGCGCATGCGCAAGAAGCGCTGCGCTTTGTGATTTGTCCGGTGGCTTCTGGGATCTGTCATGTGTCCCAGGTACCGCCTTACCATTCACAAAGAGCACTGCTTCTTGCGCATGCGCACTTGGGACCCGGCTGTCACGCACACTACAGAAGCCGGGAAGACAGCGCGCCGCTGGATAGAGGGGACAGGTAAGGTCCCACTGCAGAGCTGAGCGGCCGGCCCGGCATTCTGCACGGCGGCGGTGGAAATACTGGACCGGCCGCTCTATATTCGCTCCATAAGACGCACTGACATTTTCCCCCCTTTTTGGGGGGAAAAAAAGTGCGTCTTATGGAGCGAAAAATACGGTATTCTCCTGGCGTGCCCACAGATAAGGCTCGGCGTGCCGGCTGTGGCACGCGTGCCACGGGTTCGCCATCACTGGTCTAGATTGAGGACCCAATTAAGCTTGAGGAGCAGATGGCCAATGTGTGGTACTTTGACAATTTCTCAAAACGTTATGTGAAAACTTGTGAACTCAGGCTGGTTGAACAGATAGGAAGTGAATTCCTAAAAAAATGCTGTAGCTCATTATTGAAAGCCAAAACAAAATGGTGAAAAGTGTACGAGTGAGCTGGTGCTTCCTTACATATTATTCTTCAGTGGGGCGAAGAGGTTTCTTCATTGCCTAACAAATTTCCTAACACAATAGACACAGCACTCATTATGCCGGTGTGAAGGCACCTTCAGAACCTGGAGATGGCCATCGTGCTTTCTTCTAGAGGATTCTGGTACATGTGGGACAGGTAGACGTGTCTGCTGGCCTGAGGCCATACATTGCTCTTCTAGGGGGCACCTAGCGTCGTGTCTGGGGTTATCAGTGTGTGTATTTGCTTTAGGGAACATCCAGATTGTGCCATAGCCCCATCTCCATAGTGAATGCAGGAAGACGTGACTTTGAGCACTGAGCAGAGAACTGGTCTATGTCAGAACACCCGTAAGTAATTCCTCATTTTGTGGACATGGCGGTGGACAGCTGGAGAGAAGTCCTCGATGTTACTGCTTGGACACACACATACATCTTACACTAATTGGTTGCCTGTCATTTCCAGCTGTTATAAGGGTCCCTACCTGCTGCAAACAGCCAATACCAGTGTCCCCTGGGCCTTGTAATTGCTGCACTCTGAAAAGCAAACAACCATTTTCTAAGTCTAAAAAGGATACCTTTTGTTCTTATCAGAGCCCCCAATACATCAGAGTGCCCCTTACATCAACTTCCCCCCATCAGAGTGCCCCTTACATCAACTTCCCCCATCAGAGTGCCCCTTACATCAACCCCCCCCCCCCATCAGAGTGCCCCTTACATCAACCTTCCCCATCAGAGTGCCCCTTACATCAACTTCCCCCATCAGAGTGCCCCTTACATCAACTTCCCCCATCAGAGTGCCCCTAGCATCAACTTCCCCCATCAGAGTGCCCCCTTACATTAACTTCCCCCATCAGAGTGCCCCTTACATCAACTTCCCCCATCAGAGTGCCCCTTACATTAACTTCCCCCATCAGAGTGCCCCTTACATCAACTTCCCCCATCAGAGTGCCCTTACATCAACCTCCCCCATCAGAGTGCCCCTTACATCAACTTCCCCCATCAGAGTGCCCCCTTACATCAACTTCCCCCATCAGAATGTCCCCTTACATCAACTTCCCCCATCAGAGTGCCCCTTACATCAACTTCCCCCATCAGAGTGCCCCCTTACATTAACTTCCCCCATCAGAGTGCCCCTTACATTAACTTCCCCCCATCAGAGTGCCCCCTTACATCAACTTCCCCCATCAGAGTGCCCCTTTACATTAACTTCCCCCATCAGAGTGCCCCTTACATCAACTTCCCCCATCAGAGTGCCCCTTACATCAACTTCCCCCATCAGAGTGCCTCCTTACATTAACTTCCCCCATCAGAGTGCCCCTTACATCAACTTCCCCCATCAGAGTGCCTCCTTACATTAACTTCCCCCATCAGAGTGCCCCTTACATCAACCTCCCTGCCAGGGATCGCCACGGCGTTGGTCCCGGCGCATGCGCATTAAGCCGTCTCAGGCGGGGATGCGGGCGCTAGGGCCCGGCCCGCCGCGGCGAAGTTTGCGCATGCGCACTGGCGTGCGCTAGTGCACGCCTGGCACCAATGACAGCGCAGGGCGCGGTATTTAAATCGCCCTGTGCTGTCACTTGTTGCCAAATGGTCTTCTGTGATTCCTGTTACCTGTGTTTGAGTACTACTACTACCCGGATAGTCTGACCTTGCTGCCTTCTCCCTGTCCTGACCTCTGGCTTGTCTGACTTCGCTCCTGGATGTTCCCCTTTAGATCTGATCTCCTGTTATTGACCTGGCGTGTGACCCGACCATTCTTTGCCTGCTGCTTTGTACCGCACCGACCCCCCTGTTACCGACTCAGCTTGTTTGACTTAGCTTTAGCTCATCCATCCCATTGGGATCTTCCGGTCCCCTCACATCAGACTCTCACCCGGCGGGAGCCTCTGGCAGACTCCTCTACCACTGGTGGGTATACCCGGTAGTCGCGACCTGGTCTCGGAGCGCTCCAAGTCCATCCCCACCATCAGGGGCTCTGGTGAACAAGTGCTCCGGGACTTAGACTCCGGGGAGGCCTGACCAGTGGGTTGCTAGAGGTGCTGCCAGGTGGTCCCTTACACTCCCCCATCAGAGTGCCCCTTACATCAACCTCCCCCTTCAGAGTGCCGCTTACATCAACTTCCCCCATCAGAGTGCCCCCTTACATCATTATCCCTATCAATGTGCCCCTTACATCAACTTCCCCCATCAGAGTGCCCCCTTACATCAACTTCAACCATCAGAGTGCCCCCTTACATCAACTTCCCCCATCAGAGTGCCCCCTTACATCAACTTCAACCATCAGAGTGCCCCCTTACATCAACTTCCCCCATCAGAGTGCCCCTTACATCAACTTCCCCCATCAGAGTGCCCCCTTACATCATTATCCCTATCAATGTGCCCCTTACATTAACTTCCCCCATCAGAGTGCCCCCTTACATCAACTTCAACCATCAGAGTGCCCCCTTACATCAACTTCCCCCATCAGAGTGCCCCCTTACATCAACTTCCCCCATCAGAGTGCCCCCTTACATCAACTTCCCCATCAGAGTGCCCCCTTACATCAACTTCCCCCATCAGAGTGCCCCCTTACATCAACTTCAACCATCAGAGTGCCCCCTTACATGAACTTCCCCCATCAGAGTGCCCCCTTACATCAACTTCCCCCATCAGAGTGCCCCCTTACATCATTATTCCTATCAATGTGCCCCAGTCCCTTTTAGCACCAGGCAGGCAGAGGGTAGGAGGAGCTGGGAGGCAGTGTGCGGATCTGGATGGAGGAAGTTCCTTTCCGATCCAGCTGGGAGGCAGTGTGAGGATCTGGATGGAGGAAGTTCCTTTCCGATCCAGCTGGGTGGCAGTGTGCAAATCTGGATGGAGGAAGTTCCTTTCCGATCCAGATGGGAGGCAGTGTGCAGATCTGGATGGAGGAAGTTCCTTTTTGATCCAGCTGGGAGGCAGTGTGCAGATCTGGATGGAGGAAGTTCCTTTCCAATCCAGCTGGGAGGCAGTGTGAGGATCTGGATGGAGGAAATTCCTTTCCGATCCAGCTGGGAGGCAGTGTGCAAATCGGGGTGGAGGAAGTTCCTTTTTGATCCAGCTGGGAGGCAGTTTGCGGATCTGGGTGGAGGAAGTTCCTTTTTGATCCAGCTGGGAGGCAGTGTGCGGATCTGAGTGGAGGAAGTTCCTTTTTGATCCAGCTGGGAGGCAGTGTGTGGATCTGGATGAAGGAAATTCCTTTCCGATCCAGCTGGGAGGCAGTGTGCGGATCTGAGTGGAGGAAGTTCCTTTCCGATCCAGCTGGGAGGCAGTGTGCGGATCTGAGTGGAGGAAGTTCCCTTTCCGATCCAGCTGGGAGGCAGTGTGCGGATCTGAGTGGAGGAAGTTCCTTTCCGATCCAGCTGGGAGGCAGTGTGAGGATCTGGATGGAGGAAGTTCCTTTCCGATCCAGCTGGGTGGCAGTGTGAGGATCTGGATGGAGGAAGTTCCTTTCCGATCCAGCTGGGTGGCAGTGTGCAAATCTGGATGGAGGAAGTTCTTTCCGATCCAGATGGGAGGCAGTGTGCAGATCTGGATGGAGGAAGTTCCTTTTTGATCCAGCTGGGAGGCAGTGTGCAGATCTGGATGGAGGAAGTTCCTTTCCAATCCAGCTGGGAGGCAGTGTGAGGATCTGGATGGAGGAAATTCCTTTCCGATCCAGCTGGGAGGCAGTGTGCGGATCTGAGTGGAGGAAGTTCCTTTTTGATCCAGCTGGGAGGCAGTGTGCGGATCTGAGTGGAGGAAGTTCCTTTTTGATCCAGCTGGGAGGCAGTGTGCGGATCTGGGTGGAGGAAGTTCCTTTTCGATCCAGCTGTGAATGCTAGGGCCAGGGAATGCCGGTGGTCTTAGCAACCAACCACTGCATAGGTTGGGGACTGGGTCAATGGATCCAGTGGTCTCGGAGACCTGGAGGGACGTGTCAAAAATCTGGGGGTAGGTGGGAGTGGAGAGGGATGTCTTGACATGCATTTTAAACATGAACATATCTACAGCTGAACTCTGGGCAAGAAAAATCCTTACCCCCCCCCCCCCCCCCCCAGCAGAGGGTCCCCCACCCCACCGCAAAGGCTAACCTTGCAGGTGATGAATAAAGTTCTTTGGCAGCTGCTAGTGCTGACTTGTATTTTGAGGGTGCATGTTCCTGGGCCTTGGAGTGCATGCTTTCACCTTGGTGGATCTGAGACAACTATGTGGATATCAGGTGGTCATTTATACTGACAGGTTCTCTTTAATGTAAAAACAATGTTAACAAGTATATTGGTCTTTTGTTTCCTTCCAACAGTCAACATCTTGACAGCTGTGGCCCTCTCAAAGTTGGCATCCAGGACCAAGAAGTCATCCTACTGCTACCTCCTGGCCCTTACTACCTCCGACATCCTGACCCAGATCTTTATCATCTTTGTAGGCTTCATCCTACAGACAGCCATCCTCCATCGCAAGGTGCCCAATGCCTTCATCCACATGGTCAGTGTCCTTGAGTTTTCATCCAATCACGCCTCTATCTGGATCACGGTCATCCTCACGGTTGATCGATATGTAGCTCTTTGTCACCCGCTGCAGTATCGCTCCCTGTCCTACCCAGAACGCACCCGCAAAGTCATTATGACCGTGTTCCTCTCGTCTTTTGTGACCGGAAATTCCATTCTACTGGTGGAGCGACGTTTGGAGGGACCCTCGAGCTCCAGGATTGTTGGATCGATTGCTTAAGTGGGTCCACTGCTTTATCATTTATTTCATCCCATGTACCATCTTCTTCCTCACTAACACGGTAATCATTCTGAGGCTCAGGAGGAAATCCGAATCGAAGAGGTACAAGGTCCGCATTGGCAAGACCACGGCCATCCTGATGAGCATCACAACGGTTTTTGCAGTTCTCTGGGCTCCCAGGACCATCGTCATCATCATTCACATGTACGTGTCTTCGGTCCACAAGGACTGGAGGGTCCACCTGGCCTTGGACATTGGGAATATGCTGGCCCTCCTGAACACAGCTGTCAATTTCTTCCTGTACTGTTTTGTGAGTCGCCGGTTTCGGGACATGGTGAGAGAAATCCTTGGCATGCAAAGGCCGTGTCGCATGGTGGAAGGGAAGAAGAGCCAAAGTGACTTCTCTGACTCCTTGAAGCCAGTGGAGATCCCACAGGCAACAGTTATTTGAGTCCAGAGATGTACCATTGAGAAAGATGTTGTTTCCTACCATGTTTGTTAATTGCACCGTTCCGTTTTGATTGCATGTGACGTTCTTGCGTGCATGAAGTCTGTAATAACTAAAGAAATCGTTAAATGTTATACGAGACACGTCTCGGAAATGTAATATGACCCATACATGCTAGAGGAATGGAAAGTCTGAGATGAAAACAAAATAAAGTATATCAAAAATCGAAACATTTGTGCCCATTTATGATGATCAGAGCAGCCTTTCTCAAATTATTTTGTACCCCAGAGGAACCCTTGAAATTATTTCAGGTCTCAGGGAACCCCTGCTAAGAACTTAGGGAAAATCGTCCAATGGAGGAACGTGTTCCAGTGGCAGTTGTCTAAGACAGGACTTACTTTGGACAGCTTTTCTCTCACTACATGTTGGAAGTGAAGGGAAATCTCTAAGGTGGAACACCAATGGGATAGGGGTTTGGCCATTCTCTAATCCAACCATTCTCAACCAGGGTTCCTCTGGAGGTTGCCAGAGGTTCCTTGAGCTTTGGCTGATTGAACTCCCATTGGATGATGCCACCATCATTCCAGGTCCAACATCACGTGGCTGAGCTAACGACTACTGGGCTAATTCCCCTTACCTTGGGGGTCAGTAAGAGAACTGCCCACCCTACAGTGGTCACCAAAATGTCATCCTTACAGCAGGGGTGGACTGACAACTCATGGGGCCCGTGGGCAATAGGGGATCATGGGGTCCCTGTGTCCTCACCCACACCCAAAAAAGCCTATGAAAAAGCCAATGAAAGGTACCAGGGGCATCTCATGGGGCCCCCTACTGACCCCGGGCCCTCGGGCAGTTCCTGAGTGCTTGAATGGTCAGTCAGCCCCTGCCTTACAGTCAGCTGAAAAGATGACCGAGTATCTCTAGCCCAAATTTTTTGTTTTAGTGTTTGATCAAGTATGGAAGGGTTAGAGCCCCGATCAATGGGTTACAGGATAGAAGTATTTGGACCCTGGGCAATGGGAAAGCATCTGGATGGAATAGGACCCCTGTCAGGGGGTTAGAATACAGAAGTATTAGGACTACTTTTGATGGGTTAGAGTATGGAAGTATTAGGATTCTTGTCAATGGGTTACAATATGGTGGGGTTAGGACCCCTGTCAATAGGTTAGAGTATGGAAGTATTAGGATTCTTGTCAATGGGTTACAATATGGTGGGGTTAGGACCCCTGTCAATAGGTTAGAGTATGGAAGTATTAGGATTCTTGTCAATGGGTTTAATTATGGCATTAAGGTATTAAGACGCCTGTCAAGCGGTTGGAGTATGGAAGGGTAGGACCATCGTCAATGGGTTACAATATGGCGGGGTTAGGAACCCTGTCAATAGGTTAGAGTATGGAAGGCAAGGTCCCCTGTTAATGGGTTAGAATATGGAAGGGTCGGAAATCCTGTCAAGGGGCTTGGGTATGGAAGGGTTAGGACCCCTGTCAAGCGGTCAGAGTATGGAAGAATTAGGACCCCTGTCAATAGTTTAAAGTATGGAAAGTTTAGGATCCGTTTCAAGGTGTTAGTATATGGAAGGTGATACGACGCGTCGGTCTTTAGATGGATTAGAACCACTTTCAATGGGTTTGACGAATGGTCTCCAAACTGCGGTCCGTGGGCTGAATGTGGCCCTTTGCTTGCCTTTATCCAGCCCTTGGGGAACCAGCTTACACCAGCAATGAGGCACTACTCCCGTTGACACCAATGATGGGGCACTATTCCTCCCACTGACACCAATAATGGGGCACTATTCCTCCCACTGACACCAATGATGAGGCACTATTCCTCCCACCGACACCAATGACGGGACACTATTCCTCCCACTGACACCAATGAAGGGGCACTATTCCTCCCACTGACACCAACGATGGGGCACTATTCCTCCCACTGACACCAACGATGGGGCACTATTCCTCCCACTGACACCAATGATGGGGCACTATTCCTCCCACTGACACCAACGATGGGGCACTATTCCTCCCACTGACACCAATGATGAGGCACTATTCCTCCCACTGACACCAATGATGGGGCACTATTCCTCCCACTGACACCAATGAAGGGGCACTATTCCTCCCACTGACACCAATGATGAGGCACTATTCCTCCCACTGACACCAATGAAGGGGCACTATTCCTCCCACTGACACCAACGATGGGGCACTATTCCTGCCACTGACACCAACGATGGGGCACTATTCCTCCCACTGACACCAACGATGGGGCACTATTTATCCCACTGATACCAATGATGGGGCACTATTCCTCCCACTGACACCAATGATGGGGCACTATTCCTCTCACTGACACCAATGATGGGGCACTATTCCTCCCACTGACACCAATGATGGGACACTATTCCTCCCACTGATACCAACGATGGGACACTATTCCTCTCACTGACACCAGTGATGGGGCACTATTCCTCCCACTGACACCAATGATGGGACACTATTCCTCCCACTGATACCAACGATGGGGCACTATTCCTCCCACTGACACCAATGATGGGGCACTATTCCTTCCACTGACACCAATGATGGGACACTATTCCTCCCACTGATACCAACGATGGGGCACTATTCCTCCCACTGACACCAATGATGGGGCACTATTCCTTCCACTGACACCAATGATGGGACACTATTCCTCCCACTGACACCAATGATGGGACACTATTCCTCCCACTGATACCAACGATGGGGCACTATTCCTCCCACTGACACCAATGATGGGGCACTACCCCTCCCACTGACACCAATGATGGGGCACTATTCCTCCCACTGACACCAATGATGGGGCACTATTCCTCCCACTGACACCAACGATGGGGCGCTATTCTTCCCATTGACACCAACGATAGGGCGCTATTCCTCCCACTGACACCAATGATGGGGCACTATTCCTCCCACTGACACCAACGATGGGGCGCTATTCTTCCCATTGACACCAACGATAGGGCATTGTTCCTCTAATACCAATGATGGGGCACTATTCACACTGCCATTGACCATACTGCTATTTTTTTACTGCTACTGACCACCAAATCAGAGGCATTGTTCTCCCCCCCACTGACGATGGGGCACGTTATTCTCCTGAGGCCCATAGCCCAGCCCCCCCTAACGTCTGAAGAACAATAAACTAGCCCTTTGTAGGCTATGGAAGGTTTAGGACACTTTCAATGGGTTAGAATATAGAATAGGGGGTCCCGGTCAATAGGTTATAGTATGGAAGGCTGGGGCCCCTGTCAATGGTTTAGAGTATTAAAGGCTGGGGCCCCTGTCAATGGTTTAGAGTATGGAAGGCTGGGGCCCCTGTCAATGGTTTAGAGTATGGAAGGCTGGGGCCCCTGTCACTGGGTTAAAGTATGGAAGGATGGGGACCCTGTCAATGGGTTGGAGTACGGAAGGCTGGGGCCCCTGTCTATGGGTTACAGTATGGAAGGCTGGGGCCCCTGTCTATGGGTTAAAGTATGGAAGGCTGGGGACCCCTGTCAATGGGTTGGAGTACGGAAGGCTGGGGCCCCTGTCTATGGGTTAAAGTATGGAAGACTGGGGCCTCTGTCAATGGGTTAAAGTATGGAAGGCTGGGGCCCATCAATGGGCTAAAGTACGGAAGGCTGGGGCCCCTGTCACTGGGTTGGAGTACGAAAGACTGGGGCCCCTGTCACTGGGTTGGAGTACGGAAGACTGGGACCCCTGTCACTGGGTTGGAGTACGGAAGGCTGGGGCCCCTGTCACTGGGTTGGAGTACGGAAGGCTGGGGCCCCTGTCACTGGGTTGGAGTACGGAAGGCTGGGGCCCTATCAATGGTCGATGGTGTCAGACCCGGGAACATCGTATTCATGGATTCAGGTTCAGGACAATTCCGGAAAAAAAAGGATCTCGACAAGCATGCAGCAAGAGAAGTAGAATGAAGCCGGGGGGGGGGGGGGGGGTAGGAGCCAATCAGCAAGTACATTGTGTATCTGGAGCCCCTCCTTCATGCTACATTTTGAAGTTTGGTTGTATTGTACTTTTCACCTGTCACCTCACCATTCATTTCAACATGCAAGGAGAGAGGAGCTGGGCCAGCACAGAGAGTAATTTGACATTCCCTGTGGAGGGGGGGGGCTATTACATGCAAGTTGGGAAGAGCTGGGCCAGCACAGACAATAATCAGACACTCCCAGAGAAAAGATGTGCAAGGTGGGAGGAGCTGGGCCAGCACAGACGGCTACTAGGCACTCCTAGAAGACAAGAGGGCTATGAGGTGCAAGGAAGGACAGTGCAGACATCAGAGACCCCCAGGGGGCTGTCACATGCATGGGAGAATGAGCTGGGCCAGCACAGACAGTAATCTGACACTCCCAGAGGAGGAGAGGGCGAAGATGTGCAAGAAGGGAGGAGCTAGGCCAGCACAGACAGTAATCTGACACTCCCAGAGGAGAAGAGGGAGAAGATGTGCAAGAAGGGAGGAGCTGGGCCAGCACAGACAGTAATCAGACACTGCCAGAGGAGGAGAGGGCGAAGATGTGTGCAAGAAGGGAGGAGCTAGGCCAGCACAGACAGTAATCTGACACTCCCAGAGGAGGAGAGGGAGAAGATGTGCAAGAAGGGAGGAGCTGGGCCAGCACAGACAGTAATCAGACACTGCCAGAGGAGGAGGGCGAAGATGTGCAAGAAGGGAGGAGCTGGCGTGCGATATCCATGCCATGTGACTTGCGTGGAAAGTCGCACCCTATTGTCTGCAATCACAGCGGTCCTATCGGTGCGGCCAATCAGTGCGATTTTATTGCGGCTTCATTTCACAAAAGTTGATGCAACGAAACTGCAGAAAAGCCGCGCAGGAACCTTCTCCAGAGTGGCTGCGACTTGGATGCCTCCATTACGACGAACTGTCCAATCGCATGGTGTGAGCTGCAGCTTCAACGCATTACAAACGTCTGCATGGAACAGGAATCGCAGCTCCGCCTGCAAATGCAGCTCACAAATCCCTAGAAAATGCACCACAATCTCGCCGCAGCTCCCCCGCAAACGCATTACAAGAGCTTGTGGGGGAAAAAGCAGGAGGCTGAGCTGCAGGTTTACCGCCCCGCCGCTCATCCACCTAAACTCACCAATGCAGCTGCGCAGGGCGGTACCAATCCCACGGCCGTGAACAGAAAAAAATCGCATTCGGCGCCAAAGAATGGAGTCGGAAACAACAGACGGCAATAAAAACCCGACAGAGGTTCTAATGCGACCCGACCGAGCGATCCCGGAGCCAACGCAGCACTTCACTGTCACTCCTCAACCATCCACTAGGGGGAGCGCTCAGCAAAGGATTGCGTGGCACGCAGCACTGGAACAAGAGGGGGAGGTGCTCATGTGTTCTCCGGACCGCCCCGCCCCCTCCACGCCCCCTCCTAGTCGCATCGTCAGACGAACTTCATTCATTGTCAGGAAAACCGGAGAAATCGCCGCATTTATTGCGAATATTCATCGTATTCCGGGATCGCTCCATCCAACACTGATCTGTCCGTATATGGACTACAGCGACCCCCCAACACCCCCGACACCCCCCAATATCCCCCAACATCCCCCAACACCGACACCCCAACATCCCCTGACACCTCCCAATATCCCCGACACCCCAACATCCCCCTGACACCCCAACATTCCCAACATCCCCCGACACCCCAACATCCCCCCCTACACCCCAACATCCCCAACACCTCCCGACACCCCCCCCCCATCCCCCCTACACCCCAGCATCCCCCAACATCCCCCGACACCCCAACATCCCCTTGACACCCCAACATTCCCAACATCCCCTGACACCCCAACATCGCCCCCTACACCCCAACATCCCCAACACCTCCCGACACCCCAACATCCCCCCTACACCCCAGCATCCCCCAACACCCCAACATCCCCCTGACACCCCAACATCCCCCTGACATCCCAACATCCCCTGACACCCCAACATCCCCCCCTACACCCCAACATCCCCAACACCTCCCGACACCCCAACATCCCCCCCTACACTCCAACATCCCCAACACCTCCTGACACCCCAACATCCCCCCTACACCCCAACACCTCCCGACACCCCAACATCCCCCTGACACCCAACATCCCCTGACACCCCAACATCCCCCTGACACCCCAACACATCCCCCGACACCCCAACATCCCCCGACACCCCAACATCTCCCGACACCCCAGCATCCCCCGACACCCCAACATCCCCCGACATCCCAACATCCCCAACACCTACCGACACCCCAACATCCCCCCCGACCCCCCAACACCGCCCGACACCCCAACTTCCTACCGACACCCCCATCTGTCTTTCCACTGAGGTGATCACTGTGCTGAGTTCCCATGTCTTTACACCCGCTGTGCCCATTATGAGGGGTTCCCGCCATCCCTGTGCTGAGTTCCTGGGTCTGTACGCCCGCTGTGCCCATTATGAGGGGTTCCCACCATCCCTGTGCCGAGTTTTCGGGTCTGTACACCCGCTGTGCCCATTATGAGGGGTTCCCACCATCCCTGTGCCGAGTTCCCGAGAACGACTCCCATCCCCAACCCCCCCCCCCCCAGACTATATTTCATCTTTATCAACTCTAAGACCACTAGATGTGTGCAGAGCGACCCCGCCTCACCCATGACATCACCGCAGGAGGCTCCTCCCGACCTGGCTTATAACTGGGCCCCGCCTCACCCATGACATCATCGCGGGACGGCTCTAGCACCTGATGACACTGCTTTCTGTAACTCTCTTATCTCAAATTTCCAACAAACCTCTAAAATATCTCCAAAAACTGACTGCTAAGAAGTCCATCACTGAAAGATCAGATAGTTGTCATCTTCCAAACCAGATAAAGATCTTACACACCTCAAAGATTACGACCCGAATCACTGAAAGATCTGCGCCAAATTCCTCGCACCCCGTACCGCCCCCGCACTAATCCACACAGGTCAACGAGACAAACTATTCACATCCCTTCAACTTCTTCCCATATGAGAAGACCTCTCTGCTGGAAGAGTCCTCATCGGGGTGACTTCCTTATCAGAATCCTTCACCAAATCATTGAGATATCTCCAAAAACTGGCCTTTGACAAGTCAAATACTGAAAGCTCGGTTATTGTTCCCAAAACCACATGAAGATATTACACTAATAAAAGCTTCCAACCCGTATTGGGATCTACAAGAACCTCCCTGCCCGTGTATAAACCCAACCCAACGTTGACCCACATGGCTCCAGAAGACCAACTATCTCCATCCCTTGAACCTCTTCACATATGAGAAGACCTCTCTGCTGGAAGAGTCCTGGTCGGGGTGGTTTTATCTCTTCAAAGACTTCCTTGTCAGAATCCTTCACCAAATCCTTGAGATATCTCCAAAAATGAACCTGTGACAAGTCAAATACTGAAAGCTCAGTTATTGTTCCCAAAACCACATGAAGATATGACCCACATGGCTCCAGAAGACCAACTATCTCCCATGCCTCCCTCACATATGAGAAGACCTTCCTCTCTCGTCATTTGTTGCTTCGTTTTATGACCCCCATTTTTGAAGTCTTGAATGGAACTATCACAAAACTTGGTGGACAAAATCTGGCCCCATACAGCCGAAAAATAGGTAACTGACCGTGTCCTTGTCCCATCCCCTATTCAGTAAGGACCCAAGAGGAGCGCCCCCCCCCATCCCCCATCCCCCTATTTATAACTTGGCCACTGATGACGTTGTTATAACTATAATCCAAAAGGAAGTTTTGCACTAAATCAACTATAGATCCAATTGGCTATAAGAAAGACATATCCAAATTCCCAGACTCCCCCCCCCCCCCCCCGTAGGTGGACAATGTGGGTGCCGGCTGCTGTAGTCCATCTCCTCTCCCTATCAGAAATATGAAAAAATAGATCAGCCGCCCTCCACTCCCGAGCTCCTCCTGCCACATTTATTAGTTATCAGCAAAGTGACATCACATAACAACGCATCCACCTGGGAACCAACGTGTTTTCACCACTACTGGCCCGCCCACCAGGATAGGGGAAGTCTCCTAGTGAGCAATGCAGGAGAACTGAAACGCATCAAGGAAGGTTGGCTCCCAGGTAGAGGCATTGCTGCATGTGGTCACTCTGCTAACCACTAATAAATGCGGCAACAGGAGCCAAGAGTGGAGCACGAGTGATACTTTGGGGTTTATTTACTAAAGCTGGAGAGTCCAAAATCAGACTCCCTTCTGCATAGAAACCAATCAGCTTCCAGGTTTCATTGCCAAAGCTTCATTGAACAAGCTGAGGTTAGAAGCTGATTGTTCTATGCAGAAGGGAGTCTGATTTTGGACTCTCCAGCTTTAGTAAATAAACCCCTATGTGTCATTGGGTTATACACTATATTGCCAAATGTATTCGCCCCGCCCTCCAATCATGTGATTCAGGTGTTTCCAATCCCCTCCATATCATGTGATTCAGGTGTTCCAATCCCCTCCAAATCATGTGATTCAGGTGTTCCAATCCCCTTCCAATCATATGATTTAGGTGTTCCAATCCCCTCCATATCATGTAATTCAGGTGTTCCAATCCCCTCCATATCACGTGATTCAGGTGTTCCAATCCTCTCCAATCATGTGATTCACGTGTTCCAATCCCCTCCCAATCATGTGATTCAGGTGTTCCATTCCCCTCCATATCATGTGATTCAGGTGTTCCAATCCACTCCATATCATGTGATTCAGGTGTTCCAATCCCCTCCCAATCATGTGATTCAGGTGTTCCAATCCCCTCCAAATCATGTGATTCAGGTGTTCCAATCCCCTCCCAATCATATGATTCAGGTGTTCCAATCCCCTCCATATCATGTAATTCAGGTGTTCCAATCTTCTCCATACCATGTGATTCAGGTGTTCCAATCCCCTCCCAATCATGTGATTCAGGTGTTCCATTCCCCTCCATATTATGTGATTCAGGTGTTCCAATCCACTCTATAAAATGTGATTCAGGTGCTCCAATCCCCTCCCAATCATGTGATTCAGGTGTTCCAATCCACTCCAGATCATGTGATTCAGGTGTTCCAATGCCCTCCATATCATGTGATTCAGGTGTTCCAATCCCCTCCCAATCATGTGATTCAGGTGTTCCAATCCTCTCCATATCATGTGATTCAGGTGTTTCAATCCCCTCCATATCATGTGATTCAGGTGTTCCAATCCCCTCCATATCATGTGATTCTGGTGTTCCAATCCCCTCCATATCATGTGATTCAGGTGTTCCAATCCCCTCCATATCATGTGATTTAGGTGTTCCAATCCCCTCCATATCATGTGATTCAGGTGTGTTCCAATCCCCTCCATATCATGTGATTTAGGTGTTCCAATCTCCTCCATATCATGTGATTCAGGTGTTCCAATCCCCTCCATATCATGTGATTCAGGTGTTCCAATCCCCTCCATATCATGTGATTCAGGTGTTCCAATCCCCTCCATATCATGTGATTTAGGTGTTCCAATCTCCTCTATATCATGTGATTCAGGTGTTCCAATCCCATCCATGGACACAGGTGTATACAATCAAGCCCCTAGGCATGCAGACTGCTTCTACAAACATTGGTGAAAGAATGGGTCGCTCTCAGGAGCTCAGTGACTCCAAGCGTGGTCCCGTGATAGGTGGCCACCTGGGCAATAAGTCCATCCGTGACATTTCCTGGCTACTAAATATTCCGCGCTCAACTGTTAGTGGGATTATAACAAAGTGGAAGCCACTGGGAACAACAGCCACTCAGCCACCAAGTGGTAGGCCACGTCACATGACAGGGCGGGGTCAGCGCATGCTGAAGCGCACAGTGCGCAGAAGTCGCCAACTGTCTGCAGAGTCAATAGCTAAAGACCTCCAAACTTGGTGTGGCCTTCAGATGAGCCCAACAACAGTGCGTAGAGAGCTTCATGGAATGGGTTTCCCATGGCCGAGCAGCTGCATCCAAGCCTTCCATCACCAAGTGCAATGCAAAGCGTCGGATGCCGTGGTGTAAAGCACGCCACCACTAGACTCTAGAGCAGAGGAGGCGTGTTCTCTGGAGGAACCAATCACGCTTCTCTGTCTGGCAATCCGATGGACGTGTCTGGGTTTGGCGATGGCCAGGAGAACGGTACTTGCCTGACTGCATTGTGCCAAGTGTAAAGTTTGGTGGAGGGGGGATTATGGTGTGGGGGTGTATTTCAGGGGTTGGGCTTGGCCCCCTAGTTCCAGTGAAGGGAACTCTTAAGGCTACATTTTGGACAATTTCATGCTCCCAACTTTGGGGAGTTTGGGGATGGCCCCTTCCTGTTCCAAACATGACTGCGCACCAGTGCACAAAGCAAGGTCCATAAAGACATGGAGGAGCCAGTTTGGGGTGGAGGAACTTGACTGTCCTGCACAGAGTCCTGACCTCAACCCCATAGAACACCTTTGGGATGAATTAGAGCGGAGACTGTGAGCCAGGCCTCCTCCCCCGACATCAGTGCCTGACCTGACAAATGTGCTTCTGGAAGAATGGTCCAACCTTCCCATAGACACCCTCCTAAACCTTGTGGACGGCCTTCCCAGAAGAGTTGAAGCTGTTATAGCTGCAAAGGGCGGGGCCAACTCAATATTGGACCCTACGGACTAAGACTGGGGGGCCATTAAAGGTCATGTGTGTGGAAAGGGCGGGGCCAACTCAATATTGACCCCTACGGACTAAGACTGGGGGGCCATTACAGGTCATGTGTGTGGAAAGGGCGGGGCCAACTCAATAGTGAACCCTACAGACTAAGACTGGGGGGCCATTAAAGGACATGTGTGTGGAAAGGGCGGGGCCAACTCAATAGTGAACCCTACGGACTAAGACTGGGGGGCATTAAAGGTCATGTGTGTGGAAAGGGCGGGGCCAACTCAATAGTGAACCCTATGGACTAAGACTGGGGGGACCAATAAAGGTCATGTGTGTGGAAAGGGCGGGGCCAACTCAATAGTGAACCCTATGGACTAAGACTGGGGGGGCCATTAAAGGTCATGTGTGTGGAAAGGCCGGCGGCCCGATACTTGGGGCAATCTAGTGTAGTTTCCATCTGAGTCCATTCCAGTCTTTAGGCCGCTCCTCTAAGCCCTAATGAAGGGAGAATTTAGTTGCCCCCAAAACGCGTCGGAGGTTTTCATGTGACGAGGACTTAGAGGAACTTGGACCTCTTGTCGCCTCTGGGTTTGGCGCCTGGTTTTGTGTCTGTTCTTTGGATGTAATCGGGTTTGTTGTCCTTCAATTGTGTTCAGAAATGTTCTCTATAAACAATGGCCAATAAAACGATAGATATGAAGGTATGAGATTGCACCATGAAGGGGGAGGAGGAGATTCGCTGGAACCATCAGAGACAATGGGCAGACAACTGAAGCTTGGTAATTGGGCATCGAAGAGTATTGTTCTCCGGGCAAAGGCATTCTCCTCCGTGACCGCCGGCGGGTCCAACCCATGGAGAGCGATTCATCTCAGACACACCCTGGCATACCGCCCGGCCCCGCCCGGATCTGGAGGAGAGGTCGTGACCCCGGTCATGTTTACAGAATACGACACGCCTTGTATGTACGCCGAGGGACAGAATGACACGTATGACGACGCCTGTCCGCAGCATTCACCCGCCGCTCTTCGTTGTTCTGAGCATGCCCAGTAACGTTGCTTCATGACTCGCTGGTCCTGCCAATAGATCTGTTACTTTCCCCTCTTCCTGTACTGGAGTGACAACGTGTTCTGTGTCAGACATGTGCCGGTCCTTGCGTTCCGAATCGAAATTTGGACAAATTTTTCCGTTATTCAGAGATTCGGGTGTATCGAATTCTAACGAATCTGAAATAACAAAAACAAAATTCAGCCAAAGTTCAAATCGGTTCGAATTAAAAAAACAAATTCAAATTCGAAAAACGATTCGAATTTGAAAACAAGAATAGAAATAAAATAGAACAGAAAATAAAGAAATAGAAAAGAATAGAATAGAAAATAAATGAATAGAATTGAAAAGAGTAAGGAAAAAAAAGAACAGAATAGAAAACAAAAGAATAGAACAGAACAGAATAAAGGAAAAAAGGAAAAGACTAGAAAATCAAAGAACAGAACAGAACAGAATACAGTAGAAAATAATGGAGTAAAAAAAGGACAAAATAGAATAGAAAATAAAAGAAAAGATTAGAAAAGAAAATCAAAGGATAGAATAGAATAGTATAGAAAAACAACAGAATAAAATAAAAAGAATATAACTGCCTTACGAAATTCGAATTTTGAATAGAATGAACTTGAATTCTAACAAAATGAAAATTTAAATTAGGAAATATAATTTAAAGATCAAGAATTAGAAGGAAAATAATAAAATTAGTAAAAACATTCTTCACTTTGTTCAGGAATTCAGTTTAGTTTGTATGGAGTGGGGGGGGGGGGAGGGGTCAGACCTCCTGTCAGGTTCCTATTACCAAAAACTAGGTCTGGGCCAGGGGCCCCTGGGGGTACAGGGGCCACTCGGCGACCGTGTTGTGTTGGACAAGTATGGGCAGGATGATGGCCGGCAGGCAAATGACTCAGAAATATTCAGAGCAGAACAAGGAAGATTTATTGGAAACTGAGATCGGGGATAAACACCCAACAACCTTCATCAACCAACCCCCATCCTGAGCGTCTCACAGTGTGCATTAGAAGCTGCTGCCAGTCAGATAGAGCTCCTCCCCATTTCCAGGCCGGAGGACGTCCAGCATCATCTAGTCCTTTCCTCCCCAGCCTGACGGTCCCTGGTCCCGCCCCTTTCATTCATTGGATTTCAGTTCTTTGAATCATGGAGGTTCAGCATCACATGTGGGCGTTACCCAGGTAGGTGGTCTGCATGCGAAGCGACGCCCACTCCTTACGTATTTGCGGTAAATATAAATGGCCGATGATAAATGCAGCAGGAAATATCTCGGCCCAGAAGAACATTGCAGCCGTAACCAGGGGCGGACTGACCATTTGGAAACTCAGGCACTGCCTGAGGGCTCGGGGTCAGTAGGGGGCCCCATGAGATGCCCCTGGTACCTTTTTCATAGGCTTTTTTGAGTTTGGGCGAGGACACAGGGGCCCCATGATCCCCTATTTCCCGGGGGCCCCATGAGTTGTCAGTCTGCCCCTGGCCGTAATGTCTCCATGAATAAATTCCCTCCAATGTGCAGCAACAGGATCACTGACTGCAGGATCCACCCCAGAGATCCAGACAGTGACTCCGTCTAAGTCATCAATCTGCTGCAGGCAGGAGGAAGCATTTCCTCAGTCTCCCCTCCCCCAGGGATCAGACTGTACATTGTAACTTTGTAGAAGGAGGAGGAGGCATTTCCTCAGTCTCCCTCCCCCAGTGATCAGACTGTACATTGTAACTTTGTAGAAGAAGGAGGAGGCATTTCCTCAGTCTCCCCTCCCCCAGTGATCAGACTGTACATTGTAACTTTGTAGAAGGAGGAGGAGGCATTTCCTCAGTCTCCCCTCCCCCAGTGATCAGACTGTACATTGTAACTTTGTAGAAGGAGGAGGAGGCATTTCCTCAGTCTCCCCTCCCCCAGTGATCAGACTGTACATTGTAACTTTGTAGAAGGAGGAGGAGGCATTTCCTCAGTCTCCTCCCCCAGTGATCAGACTGTACATTGTAACTTTGTAGAAGGAGGAGGAGGCATTTCCTCAGTCTCCCCTCCCCCAGTGATCAGACTGTACATTGTAACTTTGTAGAAGGAGGAGGAGGCATTTCCTCAGTCTCCCCTCCCCCAGAGATCAGACTGTACATTGTAACTTTGTAGAAGGAGGAGGAGGCATTTCCTCAGTCTCCCCCCCCCAGTGATCAGACTGTACATTGTAACTTTGTAGGAGGAGGAGGAAGCATTTCCTCAGTCTCCCCTCCCCCCTTGATCAGACTGTACATTGTAACTTTGTAGAAGGAGGAGGAGGCATTTCCTCAGTCTCCCCTCCCCCAGTGATCAGACTGTACATTGTAACTTTGTAGAAGGAGGAGGAGGCATTTCCTCAGTCTCCCCTCCCCCAGTGATCAGACTGTACATTGTAACTTTGTAGAAGGAGGAGGAGGCATTTCCTCAGTCTCCCCTCCCCCAGTGATCAGACTGTACATTGTAACTTTGTAGAAGGAGGAGGAGGCATTTCCTCAGTCTCCCCTCCCCCAGTGATCAGACTGTACATTGTAACTTTGCAATGCGAGGCTGCAGCAGGGGCTCTTAGCTGCCATTTTTGACCAGGAAGTAGATGGTGACCCCAGATGATGCCTGAACAATGATGGTGCCGCCCTTCTGGAGACATTGTCAGAGGGAGTCCTGTGAGCTCTATGGGAGTGAAGTGACCCGGACAGTTCTGCTCTGACAATAGGTGGGATATGCGGCACACAGGAAATGCGTTTTTCTCGGCGGCGCACGCAGCTTTCCATGGGGCCCCATCACTATTGCAGAGCGGACTGTGGGGTGTGGGTGGCG